TTCTTCGTATGGGGGCCACTGGCAGACTTATGGGTGGGGTCGCTGTTTGGGGTTAGATCATCTCCCTGGCTATGAAGATACAAACAATCGATGCCTACTTCCGAAAGACACTTCTTCATAGTTCTTGATAAATAACTTAAAATCAAACAGGTGATAAACTTAAAAATCCTTAACCCCCGTAGTAAATCCTGGAACCGTCACTCGTATGGAACACCCCTTGAGCTGCCATTTTTCCGATAAAAAAAAAACTACCTATAACTATAGAAAACGGTTGACGTGGTTCAAAATTATCTAGTAACATATCGATTCCTAACCGCCAAAATAACGTAAGCGACATTTTTTTTTCAAATTTTCTTTTTGATGCAGAAATATTCCTAGAGCATCTAGACGCATTTCTGCATCAAAAATAAAATTTTGAAAAAAATGTCGCTTACGTTATTTTGGCGGTTAAGGCTCGATATATACAAAATATTGATAACGTTCCTGATTTTTTGAAGTCGGTTAAAAACACAAACAACAATTATAAGCCGTAAATTTTCAGTACTTGTCATAACAATATTTTTATTTCCAAACTATACTTTTATACTGATAGTATAATGCAAATAATGATTCAATTATCAATATAAAAATGTTGTTGTCTGCTTAATGTAGTCTACACATTCAGTCTCTCTTAGTGAAGTCAAAGTTGATTGGTGAAACATTTTAGATTTTAGTTCGGAGGTAATGCGTAAAAATACCACTTTTGGACAAACACTTTTTTGAATGAATCATAGCCTTTACCATAAAAAATTATTGGTTCTATTTCCAAATAATATGTTTACTAATAATCTCTTCGATTAGACGTCGACCAATAATTTTGTCTTTAATTTAAAAACAATTACGCATCTCGCATAACTTTCCACAGTCCATTCTAATCAATGTCCGCCTAACGCTCCGACATAAATTCGCAAAATTGTATGAAACTTTCCAAATGTTTTTTTTTTTGCGATAACCTAAAGCAATTAAAATACTAACTAATTGAATAGCAATAAAATTGCCGGCACCCATGCAATATTAATAAAAAAAAAACAAAAAATGTTTACCTATCTGATTAGCTTAGTGGAAAATTTGCTCAATCATATATGTATGCTTGTATGTACAAAGTTAATATTTTTTTAGCACATAAACTTACGCTATTCGCGTGTAGATTATTTTATTGTTTTATTTTTAATGCGAAAGCCGCAACACTCACCACTCGCTTTCTTACTTCATTCATATTTACATAGACGTAGTATTCGATTTGTAATGCAGTTTGGTTTTGGTTAATTTCCTTAGAAAATTAATGCGTACTATATTCATGAGCGTGAGACATAACCACAGTTTATTTATGGCAACTTTATATTTACGAAAGGCTTTGTAAGTACTTGTTATATAAATTTTATGAGTATGGCGTTAAATAAATGTTTGTTGGGGAGTTGGTTTGTTTGTTTGTTTATATGTAGATATGCAGTATGTATGTATGAACTATATTTGCGAATGCGAATGCGAATTTTCGGAATGCGAATGTTCGAATGCGAATGTTAGGAATAACATAAAAAGAAGCTATAATCAACTTAAGTCATCGTTTTTATTACTTAAAAATTTTGTAAATTATTAGAACATTGAACGAGTGCTTAACCTATACAGTGTTTTAGTCTTAGAAGTCAAAGTTCAAAAGGGGCATATAATATTTAAAAAAAAAGTAATTTTGCTGCCTTTACTCCCATGAGGCGATTTCCTAGAGGCTCACTTGGAACGCTGGCGGGTGGAGCGCTCAAATAAATATTTGCGGGCCAGATCTGTCAATTTGTCGTATTTTAGTTTAGTTTTACACCAATCGAGAGAATTTTCACCGAGATGAGCTCGTCTTTCTTTAAAATAGGCCTTCAATTGCGCTTTAGGAACTTCAAACTTGCATTTTATTGTATTCAAATGAATGGGCATGCTCGAAAATTTTCTAAAAATCCTGAATAATTAGTTTGAAATTTCGATGAATTTTTTTTTTAGTTTGATTCGTTTTTGTGAACTTTTATGTAGTTTCTGTAAATAATAGTAGTAAATAAATAAACAAAAGTTGCAAAAAATATCACTTTGAATTTTGCTACTACATATCTTATTGACCGCAGCTGTATATCGATATAATATCATATTTATTAGGGTGTCCCAAAATCCAATTTTTGTTGGTTTATATCAGGAGATATTGGCATTAATTTAGATAAGAATGGAAAAATTATTTAAAATATGTTTTTTTGTTTGCCATTTCCCATTTAAAATCCAAGGAAATAAATAGTTTTAAAAAAAGCGAAAAATTATATTTTTTTTGATACATGTTCATTTTATTCTTCAATCTCATTAAAAAGCTAAAAACTTATTTGTATATAAAATTTTTTAATATGTACATACATACATACAGTGACTCTATAAAGATACCGTCCAAGCTTTAACCAAAACCATATAAATCACAGTTTCAAACTTTATAAAAAATTTAGGAAAATCTAACAAATTTTAGTCAATATTTCAACACACAGTATTTGTCTAATAAAGTGCAAGTTTCAAATGGCCAATAATCGTACTTTTTTCATATTAGCGTCAATTTCTTATGAAATTAAATGCGGGAGAATTTTTTTTATACTCGCGATAAATACTTGAAAATTCTCGGTATCGAGATATAAATAATTTTATTTAAGCCAAAGGGAACAAATAAAATTTACGCTTGCATTCTGAAACACCCTAACATATGTATAACATAAAATATGTATACCAATTACACTTTTAGTAGTTCTTTTCTTTTTTGTAAAATATTTTTCTGCCGAAATACCGCCTAAGCACGGGTTTCGAACGCTCCCCCCCACCTGGTCTTTCGAACTTAAAAAAAAACTCAGTGCGTGTAGTCCCTACGCGC